TAATTCATACTATTACAAATTATTGTGATATACCCTTAAGGGGAGACATTTCAACTGGGTCTAGATTGACTCTATTGATGTTAGCATCTTAGTGCTGAATAGCTGGTCTTAAAGCACACCTCAAAGTTTGCCGCAGATGGATTCAGCCAAGACCACAACTTCCTATTTAATGCGTCTTAGGTTTCCTGTGTAAATTTCATTAGTTTGGGGAATGGTTCCTAGAGTAGCGGATACACGAGCCTTTTATTAGCCTGTAATAGATCCAGGGAGCGCTGTTTTCCTGTAAATTGCTGTGAAATAAAACCATTACCAGCAGAGTTTGAATTACGAGGTACAATTGGAGAAGGTTACTGCCCATTTGAAACCAACTATTGTGTAGGTATCAGCCAGTCAATCTATTGATACTTCCAGAAACGCTGTGTATAATGGAAAGAACATCAAAGTTAGGAGTGCGTTACAAGGGCATAATCAAATCGGTCGTCTCAGAGGGCACCTCATCGAGGTGTACAACATTTTAAATGGGATTGGAAAAGTAAACCCCGAACAATACTTTAGGATTCACCGAGACAGTGGATCAAGAGAACGTAGGTTTAGAGTTGCAAAGGGTAATTTCAAGACAGATGCCAGGAAGTAGTTCTTAATCTGGAGGGTAATTAAAGGCTGGAATAGATTGCCAGAAAGATTAGTTAAGACTGAAAGGCTGGACTCGATGCTGAGATGGGGGGTGGGGGGGTTAGTGTGGATACTCTGGAAGGATGAGGTCAGATGGGCTGAAGAAACTTCTTCCAGAATATACTGTAAAGTGAATTGACTGTGTATTTTGTGGGTGAAATGCGGCAGCAATTTTGCGCACGGCAGCATCCCACAAACAGTCATGGGCTTCTAACTTGGGCTCCAGTTCTGTGTCAGGTTCCCAGACAAAAGTGTAAGAGGACAAAAAATAGTTATATAAGACGGCGAGTGAGCCGCGTAGGTCAAGCCCCAGAAAAGGCAGTAAAATATTTATTATGCTGCAAAACGAAGGGCTGACTCACACAGGGATTTAAGTTGAAATGCATAAATGCATCAACCTGTGCGTTAGTCTCGTTAGTGTAACAGCCTTAAACTGTGCAGCATCATCCACTGCCACGGTGTTTGGAAGAATCATAATGAGTGACTCAGATCCTGATCTGAGCCACGTGTGTCTGTAAGTGACCACCCACAGAGATTTCACATCACACAGATACACCACCAGACACAAGGACCACAAGCCCGAAGCTGGGCTGCCCGGGTCCCCGGCTGACGATTCTGTCCTCATCATCGTTGAGAAAAAAATAGCATCACTAAAAAAACAGTGGTCACCCAATCCACAACTGTTTGTGGGACACTAATCATTATTATTATTATTATTATTATTCATGTTTTCCCCTGCTGGGGTGCAGTTACCCGGTCAGCAAGTATCAGCCTCGGCTGACGCTCAGCTCAGGGGATCACTGCTTTGTCGGAGATGCTGTCTGTTAAACCGAGGTCCCGACTGCCTTGAACATCAGGTGGATGTCAAAGATCCCGTGGCGCGATTTCGAAAAGAGTTTCTCTCCCAGTGCCCTGGCTGACAACCAACCCCCACCACCCCCCAGATTAAATACACAGGGTCACTTACTTCACTTAATGGCTGTCTGTTTGTGAGGCGTAGCTGTGTGCAAGTGGGCCGCCAGGCTCAGCTAAACACACAGACTGACTGACCTTTTACTACAACAACAACAACTTGCATTCGCACAGCGACCTCCACGCAGGGTGGTGTCCTGGAGCGTTCGACAGTGGCGGAGTCTGACCCCAAGCCAAGGGGAGAGGGAGGGGGGGAGGTGACCGTACGCAGCCTCAAAACAGAAGGTCTTTAGGCCGGGGTTTGACAGTGGGGAGGGAAGGGGCAACGTGGGGGGGACTGAGGGAGAGAGTTCCACAGGTTCTGTTATAAGTGGCTATTATTATTATGATGATGGTAATAATTATTCTCAGGCTGACTGTTACACTTTGCTGAGGTGCTGAACAGGCTGAACGTCGTGTCCATAATAACCTTGAGGGCGTGGGAAGAAATATTATTCTATTATTTTTCATTTCTTATTACTTCACCCCTTGACGTGTTTTGGCTTTGAGTGTGCTCAATTCCACAGTACGTTCCTTGCGTGGCTCAGCCCTCCAAATTAAGCACTAATTATTGTTTTGAACGGTATTAAATGGCTGCAGCAGATTATGAGAGCGTTTCCTCAAGGGCTCTTAATAGCCAATTAAAACTTATAAACCCGTGGGGAAGTCATTAACTGACTCCGTTTCCTCTTGTTTTCAATGTGGGAGAATTAATAAACACACCTATTATTTTGAATATTTACTCAATAAAGATATCAGAGTTTAGCTCTGTGCACTCGGCCACTAAATCTACGGGGACCGTAATTAAGATTTTTTTTCCCCCGCTAATCAGCAAGCGATGCTTTCTCGAGGCCCTCTTTCCTTTTGTTCAGAAAATCATTTTCAAAGAACTCTTTGCTTCAGCAGTTTGGGTTTGCAGGACAAGCAAGCACTCTTTAATCTGATCAAATTAGATTCCGAGATACATGAAATTAGAAACACAGTAGGAGGCCCTCGGGTTCAAGCTCGGCACTGTTGCTGGCAGGTTTCTCTTACTCTTTGGTGCCTCTTCCTCTTATCCCCCGTTCCTTGTTCTTTACCCCCCACTGTGTAGTTTTTTCACATTGTTTCCCTTAAAATATTTATCCAGCTTTCTGTTTAATAATAATAATAATGGTTATATGATAATGATAATAATGATACTAATCCTTGCATTTGTTATAAAGCCTTATCACGTCATTGAGAAAAATTGTTGGCCAGAACAAGGGAGAGAGAGAGAGAGAAACTCCCCTCTCTTTTCAAATAGCACCGCAGGATCTTTAACATCCACCTGAACAGACAGATGGGACCTCGGTTTAACATCTCATCTACAGGAACGTTAATGGTTAAACTCCATTGTGACGCTGCCATCATTTTCATGGCAGACAAAGTTGCGTTGCCATATCTGGTGACACATCTTGCACAACATGGATGGATGGATGGATGGATGGATGGGTGGGTGGGTGGGTGGATGGATGGATGGATGGATGGATGGAGGAGGAAGTTTGTTGCGTACAAATTTATTATAAGAAAAAAAACACCGGTGGGGGAGTAGCAGGACTTTGTGAACACCCCGTCCAGTACTGAGAGAATTTCTCACACTGTTTAAGTCTTTTTGCATTGAGAAGGCATCTGTTGGAACGCAGTTGGATAATGAGACAGAATGCTGGGGGGAAAAATTGACACCAGCTCAGTAATAATAGCTAGAGTTTTCATTCACTATCCGGGCAGAAAAACATGAGAGGGAAAAGAAAATCAAGCGCTTTCTCACATGAATTAAAACTCTGCCTATCGTCAGGCTGGATGTTGCAAGCGCATCCTTGAAACGGAGTGACCCAAAGTGTTGCTGGGATCAAAAAAATTCATGCTCTGTCGATGGAAATGTACTCTCCCGCAGCCAAGCCGATGCTTGTGTGGTCATTAAACTTCCTTCTGATTTCAGAACACACTCACTGGGTTCCTTGCTTCCGAGTGCATGACTAATTGGGAGCCTATTGATAATTGCAACTGAGTCAATCAGCCAGACAGCCCCTGTCAGGCCTGTGGAGAGAAGGGAGTGTTCAGTGAAGGCTAAAAGGGATGAATAACAAAGGGCATCAAAAGCCACATTAAAATCAACAATCCCTAACCACAATATTTTGCAAAGTGAATGTTACAGGAAATTGATTTCTCTCTCTCCCCCCACTCACCCCCCCCCCCCCCCCACACCCACCCTTGGACTTTCTTTCATCCGAAGATGCTTTTAACTCCTTAAGGGTCGATTTATTACTTTACAGTTTCGGAGGGGTGTGTGTGTGTGTGTGTGTGTGTGTGCAAGAATGAATAATCCTGGCATCCAATCCTAGCGTTTGATGTAGCGCCTCATCACGTTTTCGAGACGTCTCAAAGCGCTTCACAGGATATACTATCAAGTGTAGCGACGGTGTATTTTGTGGACGAAACGCTGCAGCCAATTGCGCACAGCAGCGTCCCCACAAACAGTTGTGGATTGAGTAACCAAATAGGAATTAAAATGGGGGAGGGGGTGGGGGAACAAATACAAGCACACAAGATCAGGATTAACAGTCAGACTCTTAGCCAGAGGCTACTGCTGATTTGACTGCTGTGGAGAATTTAGTTAACACTGCGCAGTTTTGTCAATCTTTGGGATTAATCGATCTAAAACGGGAACGTTTCCTTGATGACGATTTACTTTTCCCGAGGATCCAACCTCACAAACAGCTGGCGAGGCTCCGTAAATTCCAATACTGTAAACCCTATCAGTGTAAATCTACAAATTGCACATGCAAATCGCGACACTTTAAGGTAACCACAACAGCAAAGCAATTTGAGATGTCCTGACATAATAAATTGCTGCATCGAATGCAAGGATTATTATTATTATGAGTCAGTGAGAGATTTGTGTGCCTGAGTAATTAATAATAATAATAATAATCCTTGCATTTGATATTGCGCTGTTTCACTCCTTAAAGCACTTCTCAGAATATACTGTAAAATGAATTGATTGTGTATTTTGTGGGCGAAACGCGGCAGCCAATCTTGACGTCCCACAAACAACCATGAAGTGAATGAGGGAAAGTCCAGTGTATTAATCAGAGCACTCGCCTCGCACGAGAGAAGAATGGGGTTTGATTCCCGGGCCGTGTGTGTGTGTGCGGAGGGGAGAGGGGGAGCTGGGTTGGGTTTGAAAGCCTATAAGTGGAACATTACGTGAAAAGTTGGGAGAGAAAAGGTGGATGATTGTGTTTGCCCTGAGTCTGTGAAAATGAAGGCTGTGGGGTGGGGGGGGAAAGGTGTTGTGGAAAGACCTCACTCCTGGGTGGTTTAACGGTGAGATGTTTGTGATGATTCCTCTGCAGGAACCTGATGCCCAAAGCGCTTGATGGCCAGGTGGTGATGGAGAAGACGCCCAGGTACTTTGTGACCCCCGAGGCTCCAGCTCGCATCCACGCCATGTCCAAGGACACCAAGCTGATCGTGGTGGTGAGGGACCCGGTCACCAGAGCCATCTCCGACTACACCCAGGTCATCTCCAAATCCCCGAATATCCCCAGCTTCGAAACGCTCACCTTCAAAAACAGGACTACAGACCTGATCGATTCATCCTGGAGCCCCATATGGATCGGAATGTACGCCCAGCACCTGGACAACTGGCTCCAGTACTTCCCGTTGTCCCAGATGCACTTTGTGAGTGGGGAGAGGTTGATCAGTGACCCTTGCGGGGAGCTGGGCAAGGTGCAGGACTTCCTGGGGTTACAGAGGATCATAACAGATGAGCACTTCTTCTTCAACGAGACCAAGGGCTTTCCCTGCTTGAAGAAGCCCCAAGGCCATGGCAAGCCTCACTGCCTTGGGAAGACCAAGGGCAGGACCCACCCAAACATGGACCCCAGGGTGGTTCAGAGACTGCGGGATTTCTACCGGCCCCTGAACAGGAGGTTCTACCAAATGACTGGACAGGACTTTGGGTGGGAATGAACGGGAATCGATGGTCGAGTGAGACGTTGTTGGGACCACTAAGCGGGAACAGAATATTCCAAACTTCAGGCACACACAAGTTGGGAGATGTAGCACATGCATGCATTTAGCATAAGAATTTCGCCGATCTATGCATAACCTGCGTCTGCGGATCTCGGAACGCCAGAGATTTTGGGGACAATTTTGACAGCTGCCGCCAGCCTCCTTTGCCGTTTTTCACGAACCTCAGTTTCAAGAGACAGCGTCGCTCGCTCTCGCGTGTGTGACTTTGTTTTGCTGGCGATGATCATAATGAACAGCAGCCGATGGGTGTACGTACATGTGTGAGAGTGTGCGTGCGTGTGTGTGAGAGTGTGTGAGAGTGTGTGTGCGTGTGGGAGTGTGCGCTCTCTCTCGTGTTTTTATTTTAAGATGCTGATATAACCAATGCTGAAATGCACGCGTGAGGAGATTGGCAGTCACCGGGCCATCTCACAACAAGAGACTGATAAACCCTCGAAATTTGGTGTGGCTTGCTTAACCCGCATCACAGACAGCGACCTACTTACTGTTCAATGTCACTGGGCCACCTGTTGCTCTTCCACATTGCTCTGTGTGTGTGTGTGTGTGTGTGTCTGTGGGGAAGGTCACTTTCTTTGGGGGGTTAGACGGAGTCTGGGCATCTTAACTCCATGCATTGGGTTTTGAATCGTTTGGTACACTTGAGAGCTTCTGTTTTGATAGGTTTGACATTTATTTACCTCCTGCACTATTACCCCATGATATAAACAGTACAGTTACTGCGAGCTGCTTAAACTCATCTTGTGAAGGAAATCCTTAACGAGTCCACCTGGGCAGGAAGTCTTTGCATCTCGCTGTCCTCCCCATCGCATTATATATATATATATATGAATATCGTCACTTTCTAGAAATTCATTCTATTTTTCGGTGTGTGTCGAAACCCATCCTCCAAGGTAGTAGTGAGGCTTTTTTTTTGGTTCTTATTATCTCGAGTCCTCTGTTAATTAAAGTCTAGCAGCAAGAAGCAGAGAATAAAAAACATGGATTGTCGGTGTCTGTGTTTATTGGCAACTCTGGCGGCTGAGGGTTTTTCCTGCCTGTCCCTCAGCGAGCTCCCCTTCTCTGCTCTTGTTTGACCATGGCTTTCCAATGACAAGACTCTGGCACGTCAGCATGGACTTGGATGGACAGAGAGCACGAGAGACACAGTGGCTGGCACAGTCGGTCACCTCCTCTCGCTGGGCAGCTTCACGCCCCTCCACACTCGACAGAAATGCTCCTCGGGTCATCTCTTAGCCGTGCAGTAAATGCCTCGTTTCTCCTTCCCACCCCGAGCCCCTTTCCAAGCCTCTGTTATTGATCTGAATAAAAAGCTGTGACGAACTGGATCTGTGTACTGAAGGTCTGAGTGTTTGTTCCCCAGGTTTGAGAGCAACAAGGCTCCCAGCGTTAGAGAAGGTTGAGCTCAACCAGAGAACCCAGGACTCTTCAGCCTTGAAGGAACACATCTCAAAGTGGCACACAGAGACATATAGAACACTTCATTGCAGAGAGACTGTAAGTCTAGAACAATATATTCAAAAACACCAAGCCAGTGGGGCAGGGAGCACAGGCTCAGGGGGGGTGAAGGACAAGTTCAGGTCAGACACCAGGAAGTATTTGTGTGCAGAAGGGGGAACAACAGCTGATACAGGTTACCAGGAAGGATGGAAAAAGCATGGGATTCAGTTAAGACATAAATTGATGCTGTGATGGGCAGAGGGTAGGATTGGTGTTCTGGAAGGATGAGATCAAATGGGTCAAAGGGCCTTCTTCACCCAAACCCTCTGTTGGGACCTTGCAGTCGTGTTCAATCCGAGGACGGTGGAGAAAGCTCAACACTGGAATCCTGGCAGGTAGGTTGGAGAGACAGCTATAGGCACCTCTGATAATACAACTCTCCCCCAGCACGACACTGCAGCGTCAGGTGAGTCTGAGCTCCAAAGGTCTTGCCATGGGACTCGAATATCAAATCATATTCCTAAATAATGGAGACAGGAGTGGGGGGGGGGAAGGAAGAAAAGCCACTAGAGTTCGGCATGAATTATGTAATATTGAAAGGCGTCTAAAATGTGATAACAGTCTAAACCATCAGTCAGCTGTGAAGCAGCGAATGAGGACTGGGAAGTGCCAGTCTCCCGTCGTCACCTTGTGCAGTTTTTAAGTTGTTATGTTCTTCGGGATGTCGGCTTCTCATCAAGAAATTGTTGAGGAGGAATTGAGTCAGCGCTTTCGCTTCTTTCATTTTCCATCACCATTAATCAGTGGATAGAGCCTGAGAGTGATTCAATTCTTCACAATGATTTCCAGCGAGATGTGAACTCTGGCGAGGTACTTGGCTCATTTTGATGTGGCAATGGCACCTTCTATCTTATCTCCGATGATCAGCCTCTCTCGCTGTTAACTAATGCTATTCCCACTGATGTATTGCAAGTGTTTTATCTGTGATTATTATGTCAGGGGTTGGGGAAAGGGCAAGGTGTGGGGGTTGGGGTGAGAATGGGGGCTTATACATTAGTCTTCATCAAGGTGAAGGGTGGTAAGTTTAGGGGGAGATATTTGATTTTCACCCCCTCCAGGGCTAGACGTAACACAAGGCAGGTTAACCCCTACTTCACTGTTACTGTATAAGAGTGAGTCGGATGAAGAAGGCCCTTCGACTAATTTTGATCTCATTCTTTCATGAGATTTACCTACTGTCCTCCCATTACAGCACCAACCGACTGCTTAAAGGTCCCAGGGTCCCAGCTTCAACCACCCTTTCTGTCAACATGTTCCACTTGTTAATTACTCTTTGTGTAAAGAAAACCTTCCTGGTGTCTGTCTCGAAATTGCTCTTCAAGGTTCAAACCTGTGCCATCGACTCCTGTTGCCTTATAGCTTGCCTCAAAATATTCCCCTGTCTGGGCTTATTGCAGTTGGGCTTGCTAGGTTACAGTTATGTCACTATTTGGGAGTATTTTAAAGAATAATGGAATATGTGGGGCAAAGAAACATAGGAATAGGGGGACCAGCCCCTCGAGCCTGTTCCACCAGGAGCTCTGGTTTGTCGGAGGTACCGTCCTTCGGATTAAACCGAGGTCCCGTCTGCCTGTTCAGGTGGACGTTAAAGATCCCATGGTGCTATCCCGAAAATACAAGGGAGTTTCTCCCAGTGTCCTAGCCAACACTCCCCCCTGAATATAAATAAAATTGGTCCCTCATTTCATGGCTGTCGGTAAGGACATAGCTGTGCGTAAATTGGCAGATGCTTCACCCACAAAACACACAGTCACTTCACTTTGACATTGTCAGGACTGACAAAACAAAGATTATTATTATTATTATTCAAAGTCTTTAAACTAAAATGAAACAATGCTTCTCAAAACACATTGGGAATAGCTGTGACTCTGTGTGCGTGTGAAGCCGAGAACAGATGGAAACAAATAATTATAGTTCGATTCTAGCAAAAGCCTTTGTATGTTTGCCAAATAAGATGTTTGTTTCGAATGGTTTGTGTGTCAGTGTGTGTGGGGGAGTGTGTGTGTAGGTGTGACTGTGAGTGTGTATGTGTAAGTGGGTGTTAGTGAGTGTGAGCGAGTGTGGATGGCTGTGTAGCTTTTGTTTGCCGGTTCTGGTTTGTGTGGAAAGCAAACAATGCTTTATACTCAGCCCTGACACCAAGGCCACAGCAGTGAGGCTCGTCACTGTTACTGTGTGTGCTGAATACACAACAACAAATGACATTCACACAGCGCCTTTCAAGTCGGGAGGACGTCCCAAGGCGCTGGACAGTCAGGGGTTTGGACCCGAGCTGGGGGTTGGGATCAGGAGGGCGGGGAGGGCAGGGGGTAGGAGAGCGACCGAAGGCGCGGTAAGAGGAGGGTCTTGAGACGAGCCACAGCAAAAAATACATAAAGAAGCGACTCCACAGTGTGTGTGTAATCACTGAGTGAATCTGAAGCTTCCTGCTTCTTACTTTACAGTCAAGTAAAAGATAGTAGGGTTTTTATTATTATTATTATTCAAAGTCTTTAAACTAAAACAAGACAATGCTTTTCAAAACACATTGGGAATAGCTGCGACGCTGTGAAGGAGCAATTATGATATAGCACTGTTATGATATAAATGTGTGAAAATTCACAGCTTCCACAGGAAAGCAAATATTGCTGGTTAGTAAAGAATCCTGTGGCTGAGACTAAATCGAGACGTAAAATCTTATCTGTGCCTATTCAGATGGGGGTTAAAGATCCTCTTCGCAACTTCCCAGATAAAATTGGTCATTCACTTCAGGACAGTTTATGTGATATTGCTGTGCGCACGTTCGCTGCTACATTCACCTACAAAATACAACACAAATTACATTTGTATAGCGCCTTTCAGTCGGGAGGACATCCCAAGCACTGGATAGTCAGGAATCCACAATCACTACACTTACAGGTATGTCCCACGTTTGTCTGACATGAAACTTTGCTATATTAAATGCAAGGCTTATTATTATTATAATTATTATTACGTGTGCATGAGAGACAGAAAAAGAGAGAGCAAGAAATATGACAGAATAAGCGGGCGAGAGAGAATGAGATGGTGAGACGGTAAGAGCGAACGAGGGGAACGTGAGCGGCAGTAAAGCCTCTAAGTAGATCTCTGAGAATCACGTGTTCGGAGTCGGGACACACTCTATGATTGCTTCATTAATGAGGGAGTCATTAATAATGTACGCTCTGTCAGACATAACTAGGAATCAGAGAATAAGGGTTACTGCATTAAAGCGACTGCTGACACAGTCCGTTATATATGTAAATGTCAGGAAATATCTAATGACAGGCAAATAAAAATTAATTTTGTTCCGGCTTATCTAACCTCACCACATGAACTGCACTCACGCCCTGCATTTTCCTTCCATTCTAGCCGAGCAAGGAACGTGTTTGTAGATAGGAAAGGGATTGAGTCAACTCCGATCAAAGAAGAGTTATTCTCTAAAGAAAGGAATTTTAAGGAAAGGGCATTTAAAAGTAACAATAACAATCCTTCCGATTGACACAGCGCCTCATCACGTCCTTGACACGTCTCAAAGCGCTTCACAGGATATACTATAAAGTGGATTGACTGTATATTTTGTGGGCGAAACGCGGCAGCCGATTGCGCACAGCAGCGTCCCCCGCAAACGGCCGTGGGTTGAGTGACCGAATTATTATTGATTTATTTATTTTTGGAAGGGAATTATTATCACGCTTTTACAACGAGTGAGTACAGGAAGGACAAATATAGACAGATCATAAAAAGAGAACAAGTGATTTTGCTTCCACTCTAACATGTATTTATATCATTTGCGTGGGAGT